GCCGTCTCGAAGCAGCAGAGCCAGTCCAAGACCCCAGGGGCCCTGCCTGCCGTCAGGCCCCGGTCGCCTCCCACATCCGCCATATGGCAGAACGTCCCAGATTTAGTCCCTGGACTGCCATCTCTCCTCCCACCCACCAGAGCGAGGGAGCCACACAGCTTGCTTTGTGGGCCACGGGCACATGCCAACTCTCAGCTGCCTCAGCGCAGCCCACCTGCCACGGGCACGGCCAGCTTCCAGAGCCAGGAGGGCATTGCAGGCCTCACGCCCCTCTCCACACGCCCAGGCCCTTCCCAGCCACTGCCCAGCCGCCTCATTACAATTCAGGGGAGGGGGAGCGAGTGTCAGCAACACCAGCAACAGCAACTGGAGAAGATCACACCGATACCCGCTGGCGTCCTCACCTGCCAAGGCTAACTTTCCACTCCCCGGTGGGCGAGAGCGCGTTTCAGTGTCTGAGCCTTGTGCAGGCTCACACGCTCATGCACACACACACACACACACACACACACACACGGATACTAACGCCTCGCCCGGGTGCCCTGTCCCCACCTGGGAGGCACTCTGGGATCTGTGTATTGACACCCCCTTTCCAATTCTCCTTCCCCGGGAGGGGGCAGGGGAACCCCAGGATGGGGTGCTGAGGGCGGTGCACGCTGGCTGCTGGGCACACGGTTGGACCCTGCCTCCCCCCAGGGCACATTCACCACCCCCCGGGGAATGACTGCATCGGGGGGATGGGGAACAGAGGGCAGGGGGAAGGGTAGGGAGGGGCAGACTGTCACCACTGCCCCCTGAAGGACGTCTGGGTGAGAGACGGACGCACATTTTCTCCATGAGGACAAGCAAGTGTAAACACCACTCCCTGGGGAGAGCGTGTATGTGCCACACCAGGCACGGCATCATCATGCTTGTTCCCATGGTTACCGCATGATTCCGATCCCTGAGAAAGATAGCACACAGCAGACAGACAGAGGGGTCCGAGGTGGTTAGGCAGATATCACCAGCCTCCTGAGCTCGCCTGGTGCTGTGACTGGCCCCACCCATCCTGACACCTCCAGTCTATCATCTGAAACCATAGCACCCATGGTCTCAAAGGCAAGGGGTTGGGTTCCTCTAGAAACACCTGCCGAAGTGAGATTGGGGGCGGGGCGGGGGCTGCCTGGTGGACAGGGTAGAAAGATCGGTGGGTCTGCTTTTCTGGGCTGGTTTTGCCGTTAGCAACGTGAGTGACGAGGGAGAATCCTAACCTTTCTGCACTTTCCTGACTTGTAAAATGAAATGCTTGGGCAGGAAACGTTAGAGTGTTCAAACTTTAGGGAGCGCAGAGGAGAAAGCAGAGCCAAAGAGGTTGAAGTTACTTGTCTCGCCCTGGCCTGTGTTGCTAGGTGGTTAGAGCGTCAGCCCACACACCGAAAGGTTCGATTTCCCATCAAGGGCACATACCTGGGTTTCAGGTTCAATCCCCAGCCCCTGTTGGGGCACATGGAGGAGGCTACCAAATGATGTGTCTCTCACATCGAAGTCTCTCTCTCTCTCTCTTTCTCTCTCTCTCTCTCTTTCTCCCACTTCCTCTAAAAAGCAATGGAAAAAAAAATATCCTCTGGTGAGGATTGACAAACAGAAAAGTTTTAAAATAAAATTACTCGTCCGTTCCAAAGGGTGTGGATTCCGGAGCCCGAGCCAGGGCCTCTGGTGCCCGGAGGGTTCTGGCTCCTGTCTCCTTCCTCATCTGCAGAAGGAGGCAGAGGAGTCCCGGCCTCGAGCGTCTGGGAGGAGCAGGCCAGAGCCTGACACAAGGAAGGCCTTGAATGCACGGAGGAGCCCTGTGTCAGCGGCAGGCCGGATGCGCAGCCCCCGCCCCCCGCCCCCCGCCCGGCCCTGACTTCTGGTCTTTCCACGAGCTCACAGTCCCCTGATTATCTAGAAGGTCCCTCTCAGCCCCCCGATGCTGTGACGCTAAGTCAGAAAGATGAAAATGCTAGTTATGTCCCAAACCCTCCAGGCAGAGACACAAAAGCCCATTTGGGGTTCATTATTCACTCTCCGTCGCCTCAGTCTCTGCGGTGGGTGATGATTCATGGGGAATAATCACGGCAAAGAAAACCTGTCCGCAGGCGGGAGGGGCGGGGCGGGAACAGCCCGAGCTCCTTTGCATGTTCAGCTCCTGTTTTTCAATATGTGTCTTCATTTGTTAAGCGATGACAGTGTTCCTTGGCCTCGTTGGCTCTCTGCTCTGGAAACCTGAGGCTTTGTCTTGGTACGGACTGCTGCCGCTGCCGCTGCCGGGAGCCGCTGCCCACCCCACAAAAAAACAGGTGAGCAGAAGCCACCACAGAAGCGGCCGTCACCCCGACACTGGGTCCCCTCAGGGTGTCCAGGCTGAAATCTCCACCATCCCCCAGGGCTGAGGTCTGATCAGGGCTAAGACAGGTCTCTGGCCCCTGAAAACGAGCGGAGGTGGAGCTGCCCGGTGGAAGCGAAGACACACTAAGCCAGTGGTCGGCAAACTGCGGCTCGAGAGCCACATGCGGCTCTTTGGCCCCTTGAGTGTGGCTCTTCGTAAGCCTTAGGAGTACCCTAATTAAATTCATAACAATGTACCTACCTATATCGTTTAAGTTTAAAAAATTTGGCTCTCAAAAGAAATTTCAATCGTTGTACTGTTGATATTTGGCTCTGTTGACTAATGAGTTTGCCGACACTGCGCTAAGCCAAACCCAAGACGTGACCTCTTTCCCTCCTCACTGCACAGCCCGGGGAGAGAGGCAGGCAGCCTCCTTTCTCTCTCGCTAACAAGTCTCTCCCTGGCAGGCTGCCAACCCCTGGTCCTCGCCCACAGCCACTAGAAGCTGGTGGCGATGGCCAAGTGGTGTGTGATCAAATGAGCCTTCGCTCTGAGTTGCAGACCACGGTGAGGCCACAGGGAAGGCAGCGTGGGGCCTCTGGGACGTCAGATGCGGCCAAATGTCCCCCAGGAGCGTGCCGAGCGAGCCCCTCTCCTTGTCAGGGCAGTACACCAGCGTTCGTCTGCACAAATCTCCTAAGTGTTTCCTTTAGCTGTGCCCTGGCATTCTTCAGGTGTTTTGCAGTTGAAAAAAATGTTTGCTTTTCCAGCAAATGTTTACAAAATGGAAATATTTGCTTTCCAAATAGCAACAAGCCATCACTCAGGTACTATAAGCACCAGGCCCATAGCTGCAACTAATTCCAAGTAGGGCTCTGTATATTATTTGAACTAGCCTAATTTTGCACTTAAAATTCCCTCTGAATTATTCAGATGAGTTAGCCCATTCATACACGGAGTTTTCTCAAAGAACTACAGAGCAGGCCCTCGAGTAAGGGCATCTCACTCAATGTCCCTTTATGAGATCCATAGGAACTTAACTCTTGTTTGTATCGATTAGCTTACGGTAAAAATGGTTTCCTTACATGTCGTTTCGCTAAAGTCTCAGAACCCATCGACAACGATAAGTAAGGACTTACTGTCCTTCTATTTCTTCCCTCCTCCAAAAAAAAAAAAAAGTTTAGCTCCTGCATAACCAACAGCCCCGTCTTGCCGCCGGGTGACTTTGTACAGAAGGTAAGGCTGTGGGAGCGATGTCTAGGTTAGAACTATGTGCAAAAGCCATGGCGGTGCCGTGGAGGGGGAGCTACCGGGACGCTCTCCCTCCGTGGCCCTAGTCATCGCAGCAATCCTGCTTTCTGCAGACCAGGGTACCAGAAAGGGGTTACCTTGGAGACAGGGAGACTTTACTGCATCACCACACAGACCAAAGTCTTTGGGCCTCAGCGCTCTGTCTGTGAGTGGGGAGAATGACACGCTACGTTGGGAGACCCCGAAAGCTAAGGAGCTGTTAACGAGCAGTCTTTGATTCCTCTACCAAGTCAGAAGAGTCTTCAATTAAAACCCAAAGAGACTCTTTCTTTGGGAACCAAGAGGCCCCCAGCATAGAGGCCACTTCCTCCCTCTGCTGTCTCCCTGGAGTTGGGATTGGAAGAGGCAAGGCGCCCAGCCCTCTGTCAGAGGACGATGCCATGAAAGGTAGGAGTTAGATTCTTCAGAGAAGAGCTGGGCCTCCATCCAGATCCCCCGCCCCCCCCCCCCCCCCCACCTCTGAAGACCCCGGGGGGTGTGCACACAGACCCGCAGTCTCTGCTTAAAACCTCTGGGGCCGGGCGCCTGGAGAGATCGGTTCGCAGTGATATCTGAACTCTTGCCAACAACACGTGTTTATCTCTAGGGTCACCCTTTCCTGTTGGTGCTCAGGAGGCCTGGGGGAGCCGGTGGGGGGGGGGGCGGGGGGCGGGTAATGGCTGTTGGCAGCCACAAGGGGTGGAGGCATGAGGGCACTGGGGACGTAGACCCCACCCTAGGGAGGGTGATGTGATGATGAGGTTTCCAGACGGCGTGTGGTCACGTGTTTCTTTCCTCACATCAGGATGAGCCCCCAGCCCTTCTGTTGCCAATGACGATGAGATGGACATCACCTCACCCCGGGGTGGGCCTGCAGGAGCTAGCCAGGACTTGGGGGGCGGGTGCTCCAGGTGGGGGCTGTGGATCCGGGCCAGGAGAATGGCAGCGTTTCCATTGTTTAGTTTAGGATCTGAGCCCTGTTGGGACACAGCTGGTTCTGCCCCTCCCTGTGAGCTTAGTCATCGGTGCCAGGACCCTCCGGCTCTGGCAGTGGGACAGAGGGGCCACCCTCCCTCACTAGGCTGGGTCAACCCCAAGAGTCTGACACCCACAGACGGCATTTCCATCTCCCTTACACTTATCCCACCGGCAGGGGGTAAATGCTGAGATGCCTGCTCAGGGTTCCAGCCCAGCTCAGGGTGGTGGCTGTGAGAAAGCATGTTGAAAACCAATCTCAAAATCTCCGATTTAGTCCTCATTTCCAAGTGAGATAATCTCATCCTCCCTCGAGGTTGACTTTTGGGGGGCAGAAGGGAGGAGGCTGACCATTTGATTCCTCTTCTGCAAAAATGGATCATATCCACACACCCCCATCCTCAGTCCAGAAATATTTACCCATGTTTATATAACCATGGCAACAGGCTTGATTCTCTACCACTTAAACATTTTTAGAAAAAGAGAGAAGGGGAGCAGCCCTTTTTCCTGCTCCTGCCTCCTGCTCCGCCCAGATGACCTCTTCAGGAACAAGGTGAGAGAGAGCCCCACAGCCCCGGGTGTGACCTTGGCCTTCTCAGGGGACAGGGAGCAAGAAAGTCACAATGGCCCAGCATCACGGAAGGACTCAGAGTTTGACAGTAATTGTCCTCCCAAGTCCCGTGGGAGCCGCACAGAAATAGCACCTCCGACTTCTCCGGGACCTCCTTCGAGCACCGCGCTGAGACTACAGTCATCTGCTGAGGAGCGGATGGATGGAATGCGGTCTGGCTTTGCTGATGACATAGCCTTTATCTCTAAGACGGACTCCCCTCGTCCTGACTATACGGATCATTGTGGGAGTCGAGTTTTCTGAGGAGTATAAAAGGGTTAGACTCACAGAGGTTTAAACCATCAGCCAGGGAAACTGAGGCCAGTGGAAGGAAAGCATTTGCGCAACGTCATCCCGTGTTGTCAAGAGTCTGGAGGACCTGCCCACCCAGTCCCAGGTTCTGCCATGAGCCCAGCCTCAGTGCTGGAAGCTGTGACGGCAGCCACCCCCATCCTCCCGCAGGAGTCCAGTGCCTGAGCCCTCGGGATGCAGAAACCCCAGCTTAAACTTGACTCTGAAGAGGAGGGCAAGCACAGACCCCGGGTGTGCTCGGTGTCAGTGAGGAAGCTCTGCCCTCGGGTTGGGGAACCCCCTTTGGGGTCTTCCCATCAGCTGTGGACTCTAGGCTGATGTCCAGGCTCCTCTCTCTACCCCACACCATAGGGTTCACCTCCAGCACTGGCCCAGGGGGCTGAGGACAGCAGCTCGGGCCTTGGGGGTGGCTCCCTCTGGACACTCCGCCCCACGGGAAGGAGCCCTTACAGCGGTTCTCAACCTGTGGGTCGCGACCCCTGAAAATACATCCTGCATATCAGATATTTACATTACGATTCATAACAGTAGCAACATTACAGTTATGAAGTAGCAACGAAAATAATTTTATGGTTGGGGGTCACCGCAACATGAGGAACTGTATTAAAGGGTCACGGCATTAGGAAGGTTGAGAACCACTGCATCTCAGCTCACAGCTGCAAGGAAGCCAGAGGGTGGGGAGGGCCAGCGGGGCGGCCTCCAGGGAGCAGAGAAATGCAATTTCAGGCTCGCCCAGCGCTCGTGGGAAATGCCGGAGCACCATCCCGCGGGTGTCGGTTTTTCTGACCCACGCGGGATCCTGAACAGCGACCTCGAAGGGAGGGGGCGCACCTGGGCTTGACGAGAGGTCACGGAAGCAGACCCGCGCCTCTCCTTTCCTCCCTCCATCCCTCGGCTGCCGCTCCAGCTTCTCCCCACGGGGCTCTCGGCGCGAGGCCGAAACACGTGGGCACGTCACTGTAATTGAGGACCTGGGAGAAGGGGCTCTGCCAGTCTTCAAGTCTAAAGATGTTCATTTGCATCCCTCTTCCTTCTCTCTCATCTCCCAGGATAAGCAGAGGCGCTCTTCGCTGACACGGAGTGGAATGGCCGCGCCTGCACTCCCTCTTCTCGCCTTGTGTGGGGTCTTCAAGGTTCTGTCTCGCTCGGAGACCCTAAATTCTGCTTGGGGCACTCGTTCCCCGTTAATTACCTTGAAACCACACGCCGCTAATTGCCCTAATTACTCTCGAGCCGTGCCACACCGCCCCCCCCGCGGGCCAGGCCGGGCGGCGCAGCGCCTGGGCGCACGGAGCCCGGCGGGGTGGATCCGAGCTCCGCCCGGAGGAGCGGCGGGCGTGTCGGCGGCCCCTCTCGGGCTCATCGGCAGACACTCCCCGGCCCAGGGCCCGGCCGGAGCTCGCACACCTCGGGCGCCCCGGCGGTGCCTGTTGAATGGGATCGGAGCACCTCTGAGTCCCTCTCCCTTCCCCGGCCGTACGGGGCGCTTCCCGCGTTAGGGAGACGGGGGCCACCTGGGCACCGGGCACGGGAAAGGCCTGCTTCTCCTCTCCCCGCCCAGCTACTGGGAGCAGCCGCAAGCGTCCCTCCGTTTTATGTTTTCATAAAATCACCGCGTTTTCTTACGTGTTTGTCTCATTCTTCTCCTGTCCCCGCCCCATGTACGTTCTTGGGAGCAGAGACCGGGCCTGTCCCACGCAGCCTCCCAGGACCTACAACCTGGAGGGGAGGGCGGCGAGCCTTCAATGTGTTAAATAAGTGAACAGACCGGCTGGGAGGACCCTCCACGAGGAGGTGGGGGGAGCCACGCGCCCAGAGTCCACCTCGGGGGAAACGAACAAACAAACAAACACACAAAGAGCTGCCGCGCGGCGGAGGACGGAGGGTCGGAGTTCGGCGAAGGGGTTGACACTAAGCACTCAGCCTCCTTCTGAGACCGCTACCCGGTGCCCACCCGTAGGACGGTGCTCTCGCTGTGACCAGACAGGGCTCACGTGCTTCGCCGGCGGGCGTCGGTGCAGTCCTGCGTCCCTGCGCCCCGCGCCGTGCTGCCCAGGACCAGGTGTCCCCCGCCAGCGCCCCAAGGAGGGGCCAGGAGCTGCGGCCCCGGCCGAGCGCAACCCCCCGCGGGGTCACGGTCCGCCAGCGGGCGCCCAGCCCGCGCCCCCCGTGCGCTCTTCTGATTGGCTGAGGGCATCCCCCCTGAACGCTGATAGGCTGGCCCGCTCCTCCCTCCGCCCCGGCACGGGCCGCGCGCAGGCAGCAGCCGGGGAAGCGGCTCCAAGTCCCGCAAGCTCGGCTCGGAGCTGCGAGAGGCGCGGATCGCAGGGTCAGGAGCCCGCGGGGCGCGCGGTGTCAGTGGGGCTGGGACTCTGGGGTGGAGCCGAGCCCGGCAAATGGGCGCATGAGGAAGAAGAGCGGGGAAATGGACTGCTATCTGCGCCGCCTCAAACAGGAGCTGGTAAGAGAGGAGCGGGCGCCAGGGCGGGGTGCGCCCCCGATGGGTACCTGGCCTCGCCGGACCCCGGGAGCCCGGACGCGCGCGGGAGGAGGAAGGCCGAGGAGGAGAAGGGGGAGGGGACGCGCACTGGCGGGCAGAGGGCAGGGCCTGTCCCGAGGGAAAAGGGCCACGAGGAAACTTGAAGCAAAGATTGTGTGAGAGCGAGGCCACAGGAACAAGTGACAGAGACCGAGCTAACCCAACCCAGACCGAAAGGTGCCAGGGAACCCTGGGCAGAAAAGAGGGCGCGCACCGAGGGCGCACACCGGGACGCGCGCACACGCGGCGCAGTGGGACCTAGACGCCCGCACAGGAGGAGCGGGGCGCGGTTGAGGGGCTGCGTGAAAAAGGTGTAGGGATTAAGCAAAAACAAAACAAAACAAAAAAACAAACAAAACTCATAGACACAGGAAAAGAAAAAAGAGAGAAAGAGAGGGACGCGGGGTGCCCGGCGATTTGGGGCGGGCGGGGCGCTGGGGAGCGCGCGCGGGCCGGATGCCTGCCCGGGGCAGAAGGTCAGCCGGGGACTGGTCGCTCGAGGGGAGCTGGCACCGCCTGGGGCCCCCGACTCTGCCGGGCTTGGCAGAGCCGCCGTGGCTGCGGGGGCCGCCGGGCCGGCTGTCTGCCCGGGCTTGCCTGCCAGCAGGGAGGGGGCTGGCAGCTGGAACGGCGGGGGAGGGCCCTGCCGGGCGGAGAGAACCGCCTGGCAGGTCGGAGCGGGAGCTGCGGAGGCCCCGCCAGATGTCAGGCCTGGGCTGGGGGCGTGCGGGGGCGGGGGTGCTGGGTCCGGGAGAAGGAGCTCAGTGTGTTGGGGGTGGTGGGGTACCCAGGTGGGGGTGGGGGGAGCCTGCTCCAACTCTGGTTGATTCTCACTGACTTCAGATACCTGCCCCCCTACCTGCCACCATGTTCCTTCAACCGCCAGAATTCCCACGGACTGTCCGCCAGGCTCTCTTGTGTCCTCGCCTCTGTCTGTTTTTGCCCATTTAGTGTGTTTCTCTGGGAGTCGACGACTTGTCAGCCTCACCTTTTCTCTCCTCCTCCTCCTCCTTCACCTCCACCACCACCTCCTCCTCCTCCTCCTCCCCTTAACTTTCCACAGCCGGGGGCACCCAGGCTCACAACAGCAGACCTGGATCCAGGCAGTGCCCACCCTGGGCTTGCCATCCCTGGCATCCTCTCCCCTCCTGCCTGCAAACCCCTGCACTCTTCCCGCTGCGGAGGGAGGGAGCCTGGCAGCCTGGCAGGGCAGCTCTGGGGAGAGGAGTGCGGAGGGCAGGTGTTCTCAGCGATGGTCAGGCTCCCTGTCCGCCACTCCAGGGCCTGCCCTCTCAGGTCCGGGCGCTCCTGGTACTTCCTCCTGAAGTCCTTGTGGGACAGTCAGAAGGGAAAGTTACCCAGCGAATTCGGTGAGCGACAGAAGAGTCTCCATCCTGTCCCCTCCGACTAGTTTCACATGCTTCCCAAGACAGTTGGGGATGACTACACACACACAGTTCTGACCTTTCCCATGCGTTTGTCCAGCACCAGAGAGGAAGGTCAAGATCATCACAGATACTGTCTGAAGTCCAAGGCCCAGCTGAGAAAAGAATCTAGCAGAATCTTTTTTTTTTTTGCTTGGAATCTGGGACCACACCACCCACCTCAGGATATGCCTAAATAGAGGGTTTGTGGGTGTTCCTGGCATGGGCTGGAATTTTAAAATCCTACCGATTTGCATTTTTTATGCACCCTAGGTGGGAGGTAGTGAGGGGAGGAAGACAGAGCCTGTGGGTGCCAGGAGAATAGGAACAGCAAACAGGCATCTGCAGCGAGCTGAGCTCCAGGTCCTGGTTGGCACCGTCTCCTGCCAAGGGCCGGAGCCCCTGGTCCCCAGGAAGAGGAAGGGGAGAGGCCGAAGTTCCCTGCTCCCCATTAGCTTTCGTTTGGCCCTTTGTCTGAGCAGCTTCAGCCTTTGACTCTCTTGGAGAGGAAGCCAAATGCCTGGCCTGGGGCCCAGAATGACACTCAGATGGGAGAGCTATGCCCCCCCCCCCATGGGGCTCCAGCCCCGCCCCTGTGCCAGCCCACCCGCTGCCGGGAAAGGAGACAGCGGAGTGACAGGCAGAGCTGTTAGCGTCTCCTTCACTCCCCGACACCTCAGCCCCGTGCTTAGGTGTCTGAGCCAAACCTCAGCGCCTCAGTTTCCCCAGTGGGAATGAAGAGCTGAGTTGGCCCTGGCTCAGCCCTCTGGCTCTTGTAAGGGTTATGGGGGGTGAATTCAATGCAGCTTGGTTGGAATAGGAGGTGTTGGCTTATTGATCCCCCAGGTCTGCAGTAGGGTGGGGAAGGCATGAGGTTTGTCATGAGTTTGAGGGTTGTGTACGTGTGCGTGTGTGCGTGTGTGTTCCTCCCAGCCAGAACCATCCCTGCCACCCAGGAGGACTGGCTTTGCAGTGCGTGCCCAGGAATGGCACTTGTGGAATATCAGTCAAGTTCGACATTTATTCCACGAAATTCCTTTCCAGCAGCATGGGTCCCGCAGACACTGTGGGTTAAACCTGCTGGAAAGCGGAACAGTCAGGGGCTGTGAAGCGGTCTCTGTCCGAGGCCTTCTCGCTCCCCTCCTGCCTCCCGGCCCTGTCCCTGGCCCCAGGAAAGCTGGACAAGAAGAGTCTGTTCCTGAAAACCAAAGCAGCAGAGCTTCCCAGTTTCTTGAAGTAGAATATTTGCTCTGTAATGAGTGAGCTCGGGTGGGGGCGGGGGAGGCCGAGGGTTTGGGGATCCTGGCTCCATGTGGTTAATATCTAGAGAACTGGCCCCTGGGCCCTGCCTGGACCGGACAGCAGGATCGGGTTTCAGGGATGAAATGTGGCAGCGAAGTAGCAGCAGCTGACACACTTCTTCATTAGGACACGGGGCTTGGGGGCTGCAACTACTCGGCAGGGAACACATCTCTCCCGGCTCCAGCCGCCAACGAGGGGCCCTGCCTGGAGCACAGGCCTTGGGACCAGCTGTTCCTTACACTCCGCTCCCCGAGGGCTTCTAACAAAGGGGTAGACACAGCACACGGAGGAAGCAGATGTAAGATGCTCACAGGGCGTTCCTTATGAGTTCAGATCAGTAGAGAGCAAATAAAGTGCACACAGGCTGAGCGATGGGGGCTCGTGAGGTACAGCCAGGCTGGGAGGGCTTCCTGGAGGAGGCGGCGGTGGATGGAGGCCAGCTCTTGGAAGGCCCACCCCAGATGAGGCCTGGGGAACCAGGAGAGGGACTTCTCTCAGGCTGGAGAAGGCCATCCTAGGACAACGCGGTGTTGCTCGAAGGTAGGCCGCTAGTGGCCACAGTTCAGGAGGTTCTGGCATCTGGAGGAGGACCAGGCCTAAAGGCAACGAAAGGAGGAGAAACAATGGTGACAGAGGAGACAGGGCAGGATCAGCCTTCAGCTCTTGGTGCAAAAGAGCACATTTCCTGAGGCAGGTCAACGCTTTTGCAGAGGACCTCGCACTGCAGTTCCCTTGACGTGTAGAGCCGGGGCAAAGAGGAGTTTGGACGAGCTCGGCCGGCGTGGCTCAGAGGTTGTGTGTGGACCTGTGAACCAGGAGGTCACGGTTTGATTCCTGGTCAGGGCACATGCCCGGGTTGTGGGCTCGATCCCCAGGGGGGTCCTGCAGGAGGCAGCCCATCAATGATTCTCTCTCATCATTTCTGTTTCTCTCTCCCTCTCCTTTCCTCTCTGAAATCAATAAAAATATTTTTTTTTTAAAAGAAACGGAGGCAGAGGATGGGCTAGAAGGCTATTAGAAGAGTCCGTGCAGGAATGTGAAAGCCTGAACTAGGAAGGAGAAAAGGAAGGGAACTTTTTTAGGTTCCTTGGATGCCCGAGGAACTTGATTGACCGACTGCCGGGGACAGGAGCCGAAGCTGTCGGGGAGAAGGGCTTGGTGAGGCGGAGAGGCCAGCGAAGGGGCGAGATTGGGCACCTCTGTCTGTCTGCTTCTTGCCGGAGCACACGGCCCCCGGGAGATGGTCCGGATGGGAGAGTGGGCTCATCCATCTCAGACTTCCTCCTTTCTTTCCCGTCCTTCCTCTCTGGTTCTTGGCAAAGTTTCTACTCTACCTTCCTGTTTGAGGCCTCCAGCCAAGGGGCAGGGGCTGTGAAGGTCCCCATTTCACTGGGCTGGAGAATGGGCTGCTTGGGCAGAAAGCGGGGCTTTTCCCATTTCCGGCCCTGAACCCTCCCTTGTAGCTTTCCAGAGGGGGCTGAAAGGCACTGTGTGGGGAGCCTGGGAGTGAGGGGAAAGGGGGGGGGGACAGGCAGGGCACACTGCCCAGGCCCATGGCTGAGCTGGGAGAGGGCGTGAGACGGCTGCTGGAGGCACAGCTGTGGGACCGGTCAGGGGCTAGGAGAGGGCGGGAGGGCTGCTGAGGATGCTGGTGCCCCCCTTTCCCACCGCCACTCCCCCCACACCACGGCGGGCCCAGCGAGTGCCCGGCAAGGGTGCTGGCCATGGACAGCTGACCCCTCACGCCCCACCTCGAGGGCTGGGGCCCGGAGGTCCAGGATGCTGGGGTCTGGCTTCCCAGCAGCAGCGTCCCCTCTCGCCCAGGGCAGCCAGTCCCTTCCTCCTCTGATGATTTGGTGGAGAGGCACCTTCCCTGGCTCTTGGAGTCCGTCCCAGACTTCATGTTCTGCTCTCTGTACGATGGGTCTTTGCACGGCCACTGGCCAGCCTGGTTTCTTTTCACAACAATCCCATGAGGCTGAGAAGTCAGGGGTGAGGATGACATGGGGAGCCCTTGAGTAGGAGCCAGGCTGGGGTCTCGGGTCTGGTCCGGTCCTCCCACGAATACCCAGGAACCTCAGGCAGTAGATCGGCGTCTCCACTGGAAGCACTCAAGGTGGCGTAGGTGATGCTCAGATGAAAAATCAGTTTTAGAGCGGCCATCTGCTCCCGGCAGGTGACATGCATTTCATCTAGGTTCCTATATAAAAGCACTTCCACAAGCCGTAGATATAGGCAAGGTATTAAATACTAGTAAGAGCCTAGGCCATATGCAGATATGGTGAGAATTGTGAGGGGAGTCTTGGGAAGAATGATCTGGAAACACTGAGGGAGAAACTGAACCTCCGAGTGGGGAGGACTCCTGCCACCCCTGCCAGCCTCCCGGGTCACCACGGGTCGGATCTGGCCGTGGAGAGGGGAGGGTGAGGGCCCCTGCCCATGTGGGAAGGGTTATCATTTTACAGATTCAGAAGCCGAAGCACACAGGGTGGTGCATCTGCCCAGCGTCCAGTGGCCGAGCTTCAGCCTGACCCAGGCCAGGCCTCAGACCACAGCCAGTGGCTCTGCACAGACCCCAGGAGCGTGCCTGGGCATCCAGCTCTAATGTGGGAGGGAGCCCAGGCTGGTTTCAGCCGCAGCGAGAGAGACTAAAGTTGGACATGAAGACAAATTTCAGAAGGAAACACGTGGAGGCTCAGGAGGGGCGGGGTGGACGGTGGGCGGTGGGCGGGTGGATGGATGCTAGGAGCGTGGGGGGCCTCGTGTGGCCTTTCTCAGGTAGGATTCCCACACCGTCGCTGGGACAGGAGAATGTTCGCAGCAGAGAAGACGAGGCGGCTGTTAGCTCCATTCCCACCCAGACCAAGTGGGGTGTGATTTGGTCCCCGAGGAAGGGCCTGAAGCCCTGGGAGGCCGGAGAGGGACTCCACACCCTCCCGCCTGGAGGCTGGGATTCCGTGCTGATGATTTCCAGCTCGGGGTCTTCTCTGATGGGGCCCTTTCTTCCCTCCCACCCCACACTGCTCTCTTCTCCCTCTTCTGGTCCTGGGGCCAGAGAAACCCCGGGATCGAGAAGGTCCCACGCTCTGGACCAGACAGCAGCTTGCCCCTGGCTCTCTCTCCGGGGGTGACATCATCCCCTCGGGGTGGGAAAGGCAGCTGCCTCTCAGTCAAGACCCAGCCGCTGCTCCTGCCTCCGTTTCCCACGCTCGGCTTCCTCCTTCCGTTCTCCCCTTCAATGTCAGCGCTCCTGGCTGGCTGACGAGCCTGCCTGACCATGAGCAGGCGGACGACAAGGCTCCCCCCCTTCCCCTCCCCGTCCCGTGTGGGGCGCTGGTAGGACAGGACTAGAGATGTTTCTCCTGGATCAGACCAGGTGGATGAATGGAACCCAGTCATTACTGTGCATTCAGGTCCACTGAGGAAGAATGTTCTGGAAGTTCTCAGGAAGCCTTACGTTACGATGAGAGCCCCAGTTCACCTCCAGGCCACTTACAATCACGCACTGCCGCACCTGATCCCTCCAAAGCTGTACCCACGAGGCAAGAAGTCTTATTCCCATTTTAAAGAAGGGAGAAATCGAAAAACAGGATTTCGATAACCCGCCCAGGCCACACAGCTGGTACCTGGTGGAGGTGGGATTTGAGTCCTGTTCCATTTGTCTCCAGAGCCCAAGAGCTCAAGCCATACAGACTGCCCTTTCCACACGGCTGTCCTGTCCTCCTGTGGACGTAAATGCGGCCTCTGTTTTACGGACAGCCCCGAATTCACACATACCCACACGTTCATTCTCCCTGGAAAAGCGCACAGAATGCCAGCATTATTTCTCAAGGATTTTTCCATACTGGGAGAGACTGAATGGGGTCATTGCATTCCTCCCTGCCTCCGGCCTGGACTGTGTTCAGCCTCGAAGGAGGCTGCAAGCTCAGGCTCCTGGTCTCTTGGGGAAATGAAACCCTGAGATCTGTCCCGACTCTCTCTCCCTGTGCAGTGAGGTGCTGTCCGAGGGCGGCAAGCAGTCTGTGGGGATGATTTGGGGTGTTCAGTGGTACTCAGTTGTTTTTTGTTGTTGTGTTCTTTTTTAATCACCCAAGGAGTGAGGATACTTTTCCCATTGATTTTGAGAGAAACATCGATGTGAGACACATCGATTAGTTGCCTCCCACAAGTGCCCCAACTAGGGCCGGGGATGGAACCTGCAACCCAGGTACGTGCCCTGGACGGGAAATTGAACCCGAGACCCTCCAGTGCGGAGGCTGATGCTCTAACCCCCGAGCCACGCTGGCTGGGCAGTGTGGTATGATGGAGCAAGTGCAGGGTGCTAGTGGGGTTCTGGGCAGACATAACAAGACCCAGTCCCTCCCTCAATCAGTAGATGCACAATAAACATTACCCGAGTGACAGAGGAGGGGGGGGGGGCGGGCAGGAGCAGTGGGGCCACAGGGAAGGGCATTGACTAATAAGTGTCTCAGAAGAGGACTGACAGGCGCTCTGGCGGCCGGAAGGCCTTGGAGGAGGCTTCTGCATTTCAGATGGGAAGGGGACGTGAGACATCTGGGGACAGGAACGGGCGTTCAGTGGGAAGGGCGAAACGACCCCAAGGCTCTAGGTTGGGGTGAGGGGAGAGTGGCATGGGGGCGGAAGGGGGCAGCAATCCGGAGTCAGAGGAGCAGTTGGCCGGGAAGGGACCAGGGAGACTGAGGATGAGGGCTTTGCTCTGGGTCTCCCCCGCTGAGGAAGGGGCCGGGGAGGTGGTAGCCAGAGAGGTCAGAGCGAGGGGCCACAGGAAGCCAGCCGCCCCCGAGGCCACTGGGATGGCACGGGCTGGCCCAGGCGGTTGGCTGTCAGGGCCCGGCCATGTGGGGGAGGTGCTGTGTGGCGATGCCCCGCTCAGCAAAGGCCTCTTTCTTTGCCCCCAGAACAGTCAGCCCTGCACTGAACGGTAGTGGGGCTGGCTCGGGAGATCCTGCCCCTG